CCGCGTCTTGGCCAAATTTATATCTGGAAATAAAATCTATAACGGCTACCGGAAAGCAGGAAGGCACTTGTATTCTGTAGTGGTCATAGTGGCATTCAGTTATTTTATATCTGAGTTACCAATGCGACGATTTTATTACAAACGTGGGATTATTTGTAACAATGAATAATATGAATTGTTACAATGAATTGCTATTTATAACGACAAAAATATGGCATCAATGACAATGCTTACTTTACTTTTTACAAGTCAAAATTCTGTGATTAGTAACTTAAATAGAAAATATGACTCGTCTGCATCAACGATTAATTTGTAACAAATTGATATCAATATCTATTGCAATATTAACAGATAATTATATTTATTGAAGTTATTGATACGGCGTACCGTAGCAGAAAAATGTTGTTGCGTGTGTTATAAGATCCTTAGTTTATAAAAGCTCAGAATGGCAGTTTGAGGGCTCGAACGATACGTTGGTACGTTGGTTCGTTGTGCATTGCATCGTCTAACTCGGTTAGAATCGTGTTCAACACGAGAAAGAGACCCGCGAGACGTCCGTCGTTTTTCTCGGATCTCCCCTCACCCCTCGACCCGCCCCGCGTCCCGGAAGTTCCGAGCGTTGGCGGGAAAAAATGGAGAAGTCTCGAGCTCTCGGGGCAATCGAGCAACATTTGCCGAGCTCCCACGACTGTTTGGCGATAGCTGTGCCAACTTGTTTCGAGCACGCAACCCAATTTGTCTGCGTCTCATTGTTTTACTGGTCTCTCGCTCTCTCCCGTCCCCGCGCACAGCAGTCGCTTCACCGGGTGCAGTCGTGCCCGCGAATTATTGCAACCCTCCAATGATCGAGTGGAGTCTTCCCGAGCTTTCTGGTTTAATAACATTTTTGAATGCAAACTCGCGCGTGTGCGAACGATACGACGGGGACTTAACTCGGGGATTTGGAATTTAGAAATATTGCTCTACATTATTTCTTTATTTAATAATTATGTTTTATTCAGATTGAAATTTTTAATTGCTATAAAACTTATTCACGTTAAAATCAGTTTGAGAAGTGACAAATGTTACAGTATCACTGAAATATAATATCTTTTTGTGTTCTTCTTTCCAAATAAAATCTTGATGCCTATTATTTTACCAAAGAAGAACATGATCTAGTTTTTTCTTCTGTGACTAACTGATTTCATCGCTGACTCAACCCTCATTTTTACGTCGTCACTGCCTCCGTATTAGTACTCGTGAAACGAACCCTTGGTAAAATGTAGCAGTTAACAATTTATCGCTTATTATTGTGGCACACAGAATTTTACTGCCACCAACAGCGGTTCAAATTAACCAGGTGGCCAAACGAGGACCCTCCCTTTATTGTTCATCCTCCCGCTCTTCCTTTCTCCCTTTCTACCTATATTCAAAAGTGATCGACTGACGTTTTTGACCAGTCATATTCTTTTAAAGATCACGAAAATACTTCCGAGACGGAAACGTCGTTTGACGAAAATCTGACAGTTAAATCCGCAAAGACGATCAGTGCATAGAAAATAATTGGAGAATCTCGACCAAGAACGAGGTAACTTTTTACAACAGCGGATTAATTTGCTAGTCATGCTGTTGTAGATGGTCATCGTGTATCTTTTATACTGTTCTTTTATCTTTTGTACTATATAAACACTATACACAATTGATATCTTAACATTCAAGTTCATAAATAATAAATTCATTCACAAATCCTTGCAAATTTTCCTGAAACAATAAATTTATGATCTATGTACTTTTGCGCGTAAAATAAAATTTACGCGGATAATAGTAACTCGTAGATACATCAACGAAACCTTCGGAGCAACATTGGATCGTATTTTATAATTTAGGAAGTTTTTCTTGTAATTTTAATAATATCTGACGGAATAATTGTTAATTCAGTTATACATGTATGTATAATTTTAGTGCTAATTATTAGTAGATATTGCGATATAAAGTAAAAAAAAAAAATAGAAAATTGCTCTTTTAACATTAGCAGGTATTCTTTTCACCTGAAGTCGCTAGGGATTGAGGGGAGGACTTCGGTAAGCTCAAAGCCCTGCGAAAATACATGCCGGGGGCCCGAGTGGCCACTTGACACTTCTCGGATCTTCTCGTTTCTGGAATGCCGGTTGTGCCGGAAATGGGAAAACGTGTCACGATGAATGACCATTCACCCATTTTTGCCGGATATCTCGCCATTAACATCACAATATCGATACCTGCTTATGCAGCTAGAAAGAAAAACACCTGAGATGTCGATTCTTATATTTTATTGCCGGTACGTGCAGAGGAAATATTCTTCCTAAATTTTCAAGTAACCCTGACCATCCCGTTCGCCTTAGGAACGGGAATTTTTTGCTCAAAATACGACGTTACATTTACTGCGCAGATAATTTCTTATAACAAGGATGCGTGCAGTCTAGGTTTGAATATTATCGCCCGAGCATTATTTAGCCTCGGGCTAACAAAACAATCTTTCTTTCTCTCTATCCCCCCCCACTCTCTCTCTCTTTTTGTCTTGTCTCTCCTTCTCTTTCTTTGTCTCTCTGCAGGGTATCATCTCGAGTGGCTGTTAAAGAGCGTGAATTTAGTCAAACGACCCTGAAAGATAACTGAATGAAAAGGTTTCCCTTCTTTTCTCGGATCTTTTGAACACATATAGTAAAAGATCACCAGTATATTTTGGCTTATTGTTAAAAAATTATTATATGTTATTGTATACATACCACGCTCAAGAGTTTTATGAGTAAAACTTTTTCAACGAAAATTCTTTTGTGTTGAATTTGCTACTTCGTAGAACAACTTCCTTCACGAAGCACGACGAACGTAATATAACGAATAGAGGGAAAGGTAATAATCACATAAAATCAATTATTTTTTAATATGATGCATTACTTGGTATTTGATATTATTTAATATTTGAATATCTTACGTCTCTTGATATTTTTAATGAGCAACAAATAAGAGAGTATATTCTGCTTTAATTATTAGATGTAACAATTTCTGTTACACTATGAAATTTTTTCTGTCCAAATGACATGTACGAGTATTAATTATGAAAAAATATTATAAAAATTTAACGTACTTAAAACGGTGTATAAATAATAAATAAACTGTACTCTTTTACATCGTTGCTCGAAATATATTTCTCATTGAGACTGACTGAGAGAAAAACCGGTGGAATTTGGCGGAAACCGGTCGAAGAATACCTATCTTACGTTCATTCATGAAGTCAGCACAAAGGGGGGGAGGGGGGGGGTGATGGGCCCTGCAGGAGCATGAATGAACGTAGTACGAAGCTTAGCGTTGACCGGACGACGGGTAGGTCCCTAGGAGCACTTCTTTCTTATACCCGTTCAAGAGGCCTGTTGAGAGGAAGATTCCTTTTCCGTAAAAATAAGCCTCCGGTTCGAGTCGTGTGTGTTGTTGGACACGATCGGCACGGCTCGTTAAAGCCGCTAGCCACCGACGTCGTTTAAGAACCGCTTAAGACGTTATTTTATAGCATGGCAGAATGAGAGAGAGAAAGAGAGAGAGAGAGAGAGAGAGATGATTTTTCTGTCTACAGTTCTCAGGTAGAAAAAGTGCTCTTGCGCGAGATGAAATGTCACACTTGAAAATTCCACACGCTTGAAAACTTTTCCTTTCAATTTGCGTGAAACACGTCGCGTGCATAAAGGGGTTCTAATTAATCGAATAAATTGAAGATATTGCTTATATATAGAAAATTAAAGATAAAAAAAATCTGAATCGACTTTGATTTTAATTAAAACTTTATTCACATTAATTTATTTAAATTAATCTAGTAAAAAAATGTTAAATTTAGAAAAAGGAAAAGGACAACTGTTATACACGCATTGGATTCCGTTACCTTTGGCACACGAATATATTACATATACATAGTGAAAAACGGTGTTTTCCATTTCTTACATTTTTCACATATCCAAGTGAAAAAAAATGAGATGATCGTAGGAATATGGCATAAAAAATAAGAATTAGACGGCGATGTGTTAAATTAAGTAATTGCCCATTCGGCGATGCTCTGATTCGACGATCTCGCGATCTCGCAGGTGCAACGAACGAACGGGGAAGTAGGAGAACCATACATACATCGTAGCGGAATACGATTAATCCGAAATTTATGATGGAAACCAACAGGTGTCGGCATACCGCACGGCCCTTTCGCTCCTCGTGTGTGTCCCGGTGTGTAACAAGGCGTACCACTCTACGCCGAAGGATTCGCTTAACCGATATGCGTGACTGCTCTTAAACGTTCGCTTCCGGTTTCCGGTACTATCGGCTTAATCAGATATGTTAATTGCCCGCGCGAACATGCGCGAGGATCGGGTAAAAAGTCTTTCAATATTTCGAGATCAACGACAAGGACGTGTTTGCTTTTATGAAATAATGTACTAAATATATCGAGGTGTTACAGAACAAGTGTTACATGCTTATCTCGTCACCTCGATAGATTAAATATTTGATTGATATTGAGACGTATTAATAGATCAAATATATTGAAGTAAGTCGACACGGGTGGTATTGGTGTGTATTAAGTTTTTCAATATCTAACCACGTATATGTATAAACTGCACGCCACAATATTTGTCGGTCTTGAAACACAGTTTTTATATGCAGCCGGAATCCACTTGTAACTAATTGAATTGACAAGCAATTTAATATATTTTGCTAATATGCATTTACAAGAATTATTGTATTCTCCCCCCCCCCCCGAATCTGTAAAGAAATTATTAATAGATAATATTAAATTTTCCGTTTTCTGTTTTATTTTTAACTTGAAATAGTTTTCAATAACAATTTTAAAATTAATTGATCTCGCATATAGCTAGAAGTTACTGTCTAAAATCCCACTTTATTCGATAACGCAAAAGATCAGTCAAACACTGCTATACTTTTAACTACGGTATTCTTGACACAGGATATTGTGCCTCTAAAGTCTCTTCCGCTATTGATCTTTTTACCTGTAATCCTCGTCGTTGCTGACGTAATCGGGCGGTATCAAATGCCAAGAAGCGTCGTAACAATCGTCGTATCCCGCTGCCATTTTTCTTGCTCTTTTTTCCACCGTGTCGATTAACAAACGTGCCCGTCTCTGTAGCCGACACAAAAAGTTGAAAAATATCCCGCGGCTTGTCCGGTCAAAGTCAAAAACGTACCGCCGTTGAGTGACTCATCGAGAAGTTAGCCGAAGAAATTCCTGCACGAATCCGTCTATTGCTTCAATACGTAAATCTTTTCTCGGCCGCGGTAGATTCGCATTTTGTGCACGCGTTCCTCGAAAATCCGACGTGTATTTCGCGCCGAAAGGCCATCGTATATTCTCCTGCGATGATCACTGCGACACGAGGGTGAATTATTTCCTATTTCCCGGTGAATTTAAGCAAAGAAAGGAAGTCTTGCGGAATTTTTTGTGTTGATCTTCTGTGACGCGATCACCTTACATTTCTTCAAGAATTTCCCGAGGAATTGATTTTACAACAACATTCACCGATGCTGAAATAGATACGAGCGAATAATAACGCGATTAACCACCACTAATCATCGAAATGCAGACAAAAATTCCGTTCGAAGGAAAGATTTGGAAATGTTCATTTATTTTCTAACGGCCTCGCACGTCGTAGCTGTTCAACTAATATTTGAAGAAACGGTTTCAACACTCGAAAGAGGTATTATTATGAGAATTATCGAAAAGCAGCGCCCGAGATTATAACTCTCGTTCAGCTCGTGATAGCTTTACTGAGAACTATGTGGCAATATATCGATCACCTATATATTGTATCAAAAATATGGCTACCTGATAGGAGCTCCGGCAACCTTATCGGGCGTGATAACACTCTACATAGATTAGTTTGACTACCGCAAATCGTAACGGCAAAGGATGGCCGAAATATTATCAAATCTTCTTGATCTCTGACGATGAAAAGAACGTGCATTATTGTATCTCTCTGCACTTATATATTTAAATATATTTAAATAAATTTCTAAAAAAATTAATTTTTTTTGTCACATATAATTAATCCAGTGGATTTACTATCGTGGGTTTATAAATCGAAAAGTCTAATAGCTGTACGAATTAACATAGTAATTTTAATTTTGTTTCTATAATATTCTCCCAGGTACATGTTGTACATATAAATATATGAAAGTTACATAGATATGTAGAATTGTATTCGTAGATTGCGTACATATATGTCCAAAATGCGTTGCATTACTACGCACGTGTCGTTCAAAGATTAAAAGATGAAAAATATATCTTTATCTGCCATCTGTGACTTCATAACTGCAAAAAAAAAGGAAAAAGAAGAAAATTATAGATTGCTGTATCTATCACACGTGTAAAATGTCATTTTAAGATATTAATGATAGTGCATTGCCAGGCTGGGATTTTCTAGGCTGCGCTGATGCAGCGTAATTTCAGCAAACACGATCGATTTTTATCATCGCTATCGTTGTTATTTTGTAATTATGTTATTGTACGATCATCAAGTTTCATTGTCGCTGATCAATTCGTTGCACGCGGATAATTAACCGTAAATAATCATCTGAAGTGCATTCCGACGTAAAATCGTAGAGATAAAAAAAAAAGAGAGTAAAAATTTCAGATAACAGTGTTGTGAATGCATCGAATTCCAAATGAGAAACGGCAACTCTAGAGAGGCAGTAATCGGCCAATTGTTGTTGGCTACTCGACAGTCAGTTGTACCATACAATTTGTTAATGACAAGAGACCCTCGAGGTGAAGTATCCGCGGCTTAACCGACAAGTGCTACCGAACGGAGCCCGCTACGAGTGCACTTGATAAAGTAACATCGTTTCCCTCACTATCTGTATTTATTTATGCAGCGCGGTTTCGCACAGATAAGCCAGTCTTCGCGTAACGTAATATTAATTGCCGTAATTATCGCGAGAGACATCATTTCGCGTCGCATAAGAAGAATCGTGATAATCAACGATGCGATGGCGAGAATCGTCATTCGTGAGAGGATTATTTATTACAACAATGCGAGCTCCGCATGGTGCAATTTGATTGCAGGATATACGGATCTCGGTGTCGCGTGGTCGTAACTTCTTCGTTAAATTTCCAGGACGCCGCGTGACACCGTTTATCTCTCCATCCGGCACATCTATGACATATGGGTCTAATCTCCGCTTATCGCGGTTAAAGCGATAAGGGCGGGTTGTTGCGCGTCGCAAAAATGGACGCGCTCGCGGTATCTCTAATAATTTTATGGAAAGGTGGGGTAAAGAAATTGGAACGCGCGCGCGCGCGCGCGCGCGCCCGTTAATCGTATAGCGTGTAAAAGATTGATATAATTTCGAGCGACGCAAAAATTTGTGTGCCTCGAAAGATAAGGGGTCGTAACAAGCTATCAATCATTTTGCCCGCTATTGATTTAGACTATTTTATCGTCGGTTGCGTATCGCCGATGTGCATATTGTGTCTTTTACTTAATACAATAATGCAGCAGTCGTTTACAATAATTAGCAAAAGAGCGCGTTTGTACGGTTAAATAATTTATTAAGATCAACAGTGTCTACATTTAGTAACAACAATATAAAACGATGTCTGTTAAATATTATCAACATTTACAAGAAAGGAAGAAATTATAATTCGTTATATCTTAATTAGAGATTATAAATTATACATTTTATAAATTATACATCGCCGCCGACCTTTGCGCATATTTTGCATTCTGATGATCAGAATAAAAATAATAAAAATTACAGACATAAACCGATGATACTAGAGAGTGAATAAGCGTGATAATAATTATTTCGCTTCCATGTGTGATCATCATTGATTGAGAAATGCGATCGATTGAAAAGGAATATACATACATAAACGATGGCGCTAAATATTTTTATCATTCAAAATGAATATATTCTTCATAATTATAACTTAAATAAAAGACTAATTTTAAAAAGTTAATAAGACACGAAAATGCCAACAAAGCGGATTTTGGTGCTTGATAATCTCTATAATACAATGACTTTTTAATACAATTCTTAGTTCATGCAAACTGCGCGCCACATAATCGTCGGTCTTTAAAACGACCAACTTCGAATCGAATAGCACGTAATATCATAATTATGAAAAATATTACCTCAGCCAGGATATAAATATTTTTTGCAATAAGTTATCTTTACAGGATTTAAAATAGACGCTATATAAGCATCGAATTATTAGATTGCCTTGGCAATTTAATTGTGATATTACGTACTATTCGGTTCAAAGTTGCGTTTTAAAGACCGACAATTATGCGGCGCGCAGTTTGCGTAAACTAAGAATTGATTTACATATTTTTTATAAGATTATTTATCAAGCATCAAGGTTCTTTAAAGACCATGTTGATATTTTCGTATCTTAATTGTTGGCAACACTCCACGGTCGATCCAGACACTTAGTTATTTAAACAATAATGTTTGTCTATACAGCTAACCTTAACATATAGTCTTTCTTCTATAGTATAACGTAAATATTTAAAGTTTGCATATAATACAAGATTATACAAATATGCGCGTCGATGAAAATTGAATTTTTTGGCTGACTTCTACCGTTATATCGATTCACAGCTCATTTATGAGATATAACGATCAGATGTAACGAATGTTGTTATATACACAAACGAGTATATGTCCAAAAAGAATCAGTTTAACAGCGTTTTGCGGTGATAACACGCAAACTTTAGCCATATATGTTTTCGCACGCGCTGCGTTTTGCACTATCGTATCGGAGAAACAACATTTAATTCATGATCGCAATTACGTAATTGTCGAGACAGACGCAATGTTTCGTCTAAATACGATAATGTCTGCGCACTTTGAACGCACCGCCGCGATTTAGATGCTTACATCCGCTTACATCCGCCTGTCCACAATTAGGTTCCCGTCGTCAAGCTTATCGCTCTCAACCGGATTCGGGGGAAAAAAAAGATCAACCATCCATATGGAGAAACATCCTGCGTATATTTCGGAATAATTGCGAATCATTTCGAAATCAGCGATCGTCCAATTAATCCTCCGTCTATGGTATCCCGATAGTATATAGGCGTTATTCTTGAGTGAACGCGTCAATTTAGGCCGATTCAGGAATTAGAGAACTTATTATTTCTTCCTGTATCCGCTTTATCGCATCGTGCGAAAACTATACCTAATTACTTTACTATAATTATAATTATTTTACATTTTTATAGAGAGAAGCATGATTACGCTCGAGTGTTAACACGACGACGACGTACTTTGGATCAGTTTATACTTTGGACAGTTACAACTCGGGCGAAATCACTCATCGGGGAAACGCGAGCGCCTAAGATTCGACGAAATATCTGCGAGCATCTTAATTCGAACGATTTTTCGAGAGCAATAATTGACGAGCGACCACACGATGACTCGGGGATCTTTTATACGAGCTCGAATATATGTCTTGATAACCTGATATCTTTGCTATATCTTGACGACGGACAAATATCTTTTATTCGGAATCACGTTTAATCCTCAACAATTGCGTAACTGTCAATGACGTTCGATATCGGCGCGATATTGTATCACTTGATAGTGATCTGTTGTCTCGAAGGAAAGCTTTCGTTCTCTGTTTCCTCCCCCCTCCTCTCCCCCCTTCTCTCTATCTATCTATCTATCTTTCTCTATCTCTCTCTTTTGTTTTGCTTTTTGTTAATTGACTACTTTTTCTTGCGACTGCCGTGACTCGTGCGCTTACCCTTGTGACATTTACTCACGTTTGTACTGCGCTTCTCCACCACCGCACCGTTGTTGGCTCGTCTGGCCGATGATTTCGATTCTGTCAAAAATTACGTTCAATTCTTATTGAAACGAGTAGATACATAATTAATCGTATTCATAATAAATTTGATGATACTGATTACGAGTCAACGCATGCAAAGTAATGATGTACCTGCAATCGTTGATGCTGGAATGAAACGTGCTTCGCCATTGATAAGCTCTTTTGTCTTTACGACTTTTCTTGCGGGACATTCTAAACAATTAATAATTTGAAATGTGATTGATTTTATTTATTTATGTTGCAATTACATGCGATACAATATTCATCGCCACAATGAATATCGTAACCGACATTGAACTTCTAACACAGTTCTTTCGGATTTACAAGCTCATTGATGCCATTACATATAGAAATAAATGTTTAGTATCAAATATTATGCGAACGAAGAATGTAGGCGTATCATTCTAGCACGGGTCTAGCAGAGAGTAATGTTTAATGCCATAGGATTATCTCAAATGGATTAATTTTTGCATAAGGATATTATAAAAGAAATATTATGAAAGAAGAAATTTTGTTCATCGCTTTTTATTTACGGACATATCATATTTTATTTGCTCAATGTTGTGCTCATGATGGAGCACCATCTGACGCTATACGAGGAATTCAAAACAAACTAAACGAAGCGTATTTATCAATTCAATTCGACATTTGGATAATTAAATGGACCATCGCGAAATGTTTAACGGAGATGTTAATACAATTTAATTTTAATTTTAGTTCTTCTCCTGGAGACATCTTAAACAATACGTTTACCGTTGGTTTACCAATGGTAAACGTATTATTGTTTAAGATATCTCCACAAGATAGACGTGATTAAAAATAAATTTTATTAACATTTCCGGAAACATTTCGCGACAGTCTTTAATGCATAACTAATCATGTCATAATTGTTGCTCATCCTTCATGAAATCAGCTTTTTTTAGAATTTGTTCGTATTTGAATTTGTCAATTCAATTCGACATTTGGACAATTAAATGGACAATAAAATTTAATTCTAATGAATTTCTTTTTCTGGAGACATCTTAAATAATACATTTACCATTGGTAAACCAGAAGAAATTCATTAGGAGCAGCAAAAGTTATTACGTGATTAGTTACGCATTAATAACTGTCGCGAAATGTTTCCGAAAATGTTATTACAATATTTCCTGTTTTGGTGCTATCGATATATATTTTATACAAAATTCTAAGTGTTAAATCGGTTGTGTAAATATATAATCAACTCTAAAATATTTCGTTTATTATAGTTGTTTAAATTTCTCGAGGTAATTTCGAGGTACTAATCGAGGTAATTGCAGAAAACGATCGATTAGATAAACATAACCGATGTACATACAAGAACATTATTTTATGTGAGCATTTCGTGCGACGTCGTAAAAATGGCGATTTTAAAGTCGTACAAAATTTGCCTTCAACACAAACGCGATTTAAGTTACCTCCTTGGTTGATTTTACGCTGTCGTACTTTACGATTGTTTGTGTGTTGAGAAGAAGCGAGTAAAAAAATAATTTAAATAAATTAACATTAAAAGACTACACCATTTTTGTTAAATGACAAACTCTTGAGTATGTCGAAAATTAATATCGCATATAACCACAAAGAATAAAATTAATATCGCATATAACCATAGAGAATAAAATTAATATCGCTTGTATTACATTGAAAAAATGTTTGGTTACTTAATGGAAATCTTGTAGATTCAACAAAAGGTACAAATTTGAGATGTACTTGTGGTTAAATCTATCAAACATTCTAGCCGAGATAATCAGAAATTCAATTGCGATAAAAGGAATCCTGATTTGGTATTGGAACGCATGTACTTAAGAAATTCTGATTGGATCAGAATGTACATCTTGTTAATGCAACCAAAACATTTTTCTCTGTATCGTAATGTATTCTCTGTATAACAACACGCGTAAAATAAGATGGCTTTGTAGAGCGTAAATATTTGTTTCATATTTCACGGACTTAATAACGTTAACGATTAAGTCCGCGAAATATGAAACAAATATCTACGATCTATCAAGAGATCGCCAATAATTAATGTTAATAAGCAACAACCTACGCTACTAATTTAGTGTACATACTTCATGCCATATGTGCTTAAAGCTATTGAATGGTACTTGAGCAGAAGTTAGAAAGCGACTCATCAACAATGCGAAGCAAATTCGAAAATTCAGATACGAAAGCGAAATGTACATGCAGCGAATGCACAAGCGTGTGTAGGAGGAACGTAAGGTATAGCGAAAAGCTAGGCTATATATAGAGAAAGAGAGAGACACAGAGAGAGTCTAGATGTGAGAGATCGCAGCCACAGGAGATGCAAACGCGTGATCACTTACGTTCGGCGATCGGCACCGATGACTCCTTCGGCGCGTCGCTGTCCGAGCTGATCGGCGAGTAGAAGGTCGGATCGCCTTCCTGACTGGATCTGTCGGGCGTATAACACTCTGGCGAGTCGCGACGCTTCGAAGTCGCGAGGCGCTCTTCTGCCTTATCGCGGCTCTCCTTGGCCGACGATCTCTAAATACGTTGAACACAAGCTCGTTGAACATTTACGTACTGCGAAGAATACCGTCCCTAAAGTGCCGTCAACGTTCCTCGACACCGCGACGTCGATACTGTTGCGTTTCTTTTGAAAATTTCGCCGATACTTGTACTTTTCAGTTATCCTTCAAACAGAAAAGAAACCTGCACCAGTGACGCAATGTAACGCGGATTAAGTATATAGTAAAATTTTATATTTTACATCCGTGTACGAATTTCGAAACATCGAAATTCAAACAGAAAAAAAACTGCACCAGTGCAGTTTATATAAAATTATTATATAAAATTTTACTTAATCCACGTTGCATTGCGTTACTGGTGCAGTTTCTTTTTCTCTTTGAAGGATAACTGGAAAATACAGAACGGCGAAATTTTCAAAAAAAAAAAAAAAAGAAACGCAAAGGTACCGCGTGCCTACTTCGCTTGTGTATGCGCTTTCTCTCGTTCAGAATAATCAGAATCGTAATCTCGCGTACAAACACGAGGCGTCGACGTATCAAGGACTCCTTTTAACCTTTTAATTCCTATTCATCATAAAGAGAGTCCGAAGGGGCATTTTTCGAGGTGTTTACCTTCTCGCAAACCGGCTGGTCGGATTCCTGCTTGGAATCCAGCGCGCAAATCTTCTCGGAATTCAAAAAGCACTCGGTTTGCTGCTTCAGGTTTTTGTTGGCTGACAGTGGTACATAAGTGTCCTCAATGATTTCGCGAATCTCACTCGGGGACACATTGCCGTCGTCGCTATTCTCGTCGTCGTCGTCGTCCTCGTCGTCGTCGTCCTCGTCGCTGTTCGCGCCGGTCGGCTGAAAAGGCGATAGCGAAAACGTAGCCAGATAAATCTTCCCTATCGTGCAAAAGCGTATGTGCAACACCGCGGACTAAAAATATAAATGAAACGAGCGGCGTATCGTCGGAGCGCGGGCTATCTGTCGAAGAAGGGTCAAGTCACCGAGTTTCCTTCGAGTCCGCAAATCCGATTGTGAACGTGAAACGCCGCTTGAATGGACTATGCATTTAATGATATCATTCGAGATAAACAAAAAAAAAATTGAACGTCGAATATTAAACAAAAGTATAAAACTTGGTCACTCACGTCGAAATCCTCATCGCCCTCGCTACTATCCAAAGCGAGTCGATCGATCTTCTCATCCAGAGTCTCTTCCTTCTCCTCTTCCTCCGATTCGCTCGAGGAGTCTTTTAATTTTTCCGTAGAATCCATCGATTCCGTCACTGACTTTTCTTCCGATGTCGTTGTTACCTTGAAAAAAAAATGTTTCGTTGTTTTATCGAATATTTTATCAGTTTCCAAATATAGCAAGGATAACTCTTGAAACAAAGTAAGTTGCGAATTGAATTCATATTTACAATCATTTCAAGTACTTGTTTCTAATAGCGGATAAGCCGCCGAAAGATATCAATCTGTAGAATAAACGTTTAAAAACACAAAAGACAAAAGATTGAAATACTCGGAGAAAGGTTAAAGAGATTGCGGTATTTTTCAGATAATTATACAAATAATTATACAATAAAAAGATGCAATCGAATACACACGTGATTTATATTTACATGGCAAAGGAATAAAACCGACGGCGGGTGGTGTTTTACTTACTGGATCGGGATCGAGGACGCTACTAACATAAATTTTGGTGGGCGGTGGTGACAGAGAGGGTTTGGATGCGTCCAGGCAGGATAAGCTCGACAAAGTCAGACGAATGGACCTGATCAGGGCCTTCTTGGCCTCGTTCATCGACGGTCTCTTGTCCTACACCCACCACCGAGACTATTATCGTGCTAATTTTATTATCTTTCTGCAGTCGTTGCATTCGCTACGTTTCACCGGCTAAAAAAAAAACACGCGCGTCTTACCTTGACCTCGCACCTCTCTTTCATCCCTTTCTTCATTGTGGCATTCAGATACCTACGAGATTTCTGCACGAGTTTTACCTGTCGAAAAAAATGTTTAAAGGACGATGAGCTAAGCGTCGCCTACAATGAGACTTAAGATTTAAGATTCAAGAAAATTGATCAATCGATTATTCTTCTCACGTGAGATGAATAATCGACTATGATTGGTCAATTTTCTTAAATCTTAAGTCTTAAATCTCATTGCAGAACGTCGAATTTTACATAAGGAAGGAAATAATTGAATGCGAATAAAATAAAATAGATGATAGTTTAAACAACACTTTACAAATTCTAAAACTGCTGACGAAAATTTTACAATGAAAATATTAATGCGGTTTAAAGATTATTTTTGAATTAATGCGATAATATTAATGTTAAACTGTGAATCACGTGAAAATGAACGTACCATTTCACTCGGCGTTATTGCAGGGTAACCCAATATGTAAACACCTATATTCCCTGTCACTCTGATTGTACGCAGCATCACTAAGCTCGGCAAGAACAAGAGCCACGGCAGTGGTCTCACGAGTTTCGGTTTGCCCGAGTCTTTCCCATCTGAAATATTGATCGAGCTCGATTGTCGAGAAATTTTTTTTTTTTTCCGTTAAAACGATAAGATTTCGTAAATCGCACCTTCGCTAACGTCTTGTCTAGGTAGGCTCCATTCCGCACACTTCTCTACGGTCCACAAGAACTTGTCCGCGAGTCTTAGTATACTCTGGCCCAATCTGCTTTGCATCACGAGTGACTCTAGCAATTTCAGTTCTATCCAAATATGATCCTCTTGCTGTGTCTCGTCGGCTGCCTATATCGACACGAGTAACAGTAATTTACTCGATCAATCGGACGTTCGCCGGAATATATTTTTACAAATATAATTTTGGAATGCTTACTGTCTTTGACGAACTTGCCGCGGCCATATCGGAGGTAAATCAATAGAAAGCCTAGAAATATTTGAGATAACGTAATATCTATTCCAAATAACATGAACAGGTTTGTTTGCAACGCGATGTATTTTTTTTTTAAGAAATATTAGAAACTATTGTAATAATTGTAAAACAAAACAGAATAACAAGAATAACAAGCTAAATATATTTATTTAGAGATAATAGCGTTGATTTAACAACATCGTTTTCCATCATCTATAAACGAATGTTTATAATGTATGTTTATAATAAGATTCTGTGAAGATTCCCGTAAAGCGCGAATACTCCATGTGATTTGCAATGGATCCGAGTTGATGTGAGAATGTTTATTGTACGGAGACAGTACATTTGATGATAGTCCGCGATCATGAATAAAATTTTTCTCCGTTAAGTCAATTAATGACTCAATTTAAGTCCTAATGACTCAGAAATGCAAAATAGACAATGAAGAAAGCGACGATGATAAATTATTATCGGGAAGGCACGACCTCGGCTTATCAGGGCGGAACGCCGAAAGAAATCTCAATAACGGCGTATTCCCGTCGCAAAACACAATGTATACATGATCACCGACATACGAATTTAGCGTCTCACCGAAAAATATCGTCAGAACATTACGTTTTTGATGAGTTTTATCACGAGGCATTAATCTACGCGCGCAGTTTCTCTTGAAGCAGCTGCATTCGCATATACATATATTCACGTACATGTTACACCGACGATTTATACTTTCAGAAATTTCCTTGTAATTTCAACAAAACAACATCGATTTTTAACTTTCAAATATATATATTGCAACAAACCGCGAAGAATATACTTTAAAAATAATTAAGTTGAGACTTAAATTATTTTAATGCTTGTAATTTTGAAGCATGTCGTTTTAAATTATCGGATAGATTTTAATTTATCTGTATGTACAATTTATTTACATAGACAGGATGAAATTTTTGCAAACTTGTAGACAAACATGATCTTTGCTAAATGTCCACGATATTACTGATGCAATTTAATCTATCTCGATTTTATTAAGATCGAATACGTTAGACTTTTAAAAATTCTCGCCAGGAATGTGCCGCGTGCATAACACAAGTGCACATGATATACAAGGTAAAAATAAATTTACTGATCGAGCTTTATCAATGACATTTTTCCCGCATACAAAATTTTGTAATTTAGCAGATAATGGCAGTTTAATTTGTAATTTTCCTCTCGCATGTCAAATGGATGTCAAACGGATGACTTGACGATATTGATAGAACGTAATTGTAGAATAATTTGTCGCGCAAACAAATGGTGAAAGCATTTAGGAAGTTACGCGTACGTTAAAACAGACATGTTAATATATTTAATTTGCGTAATTTTAATTTGTTCTGAATCCTGGTATTGAATCTTTAATATAAAATTTATTATATATAATAGATTGAGATTAATAACTATATAATAATTTAATTGATTGATTAATGGATACATAATAATTTAATGGATTGACTAATGATTTATAGATTTTTAAAATAGCAGTCGTTATAAGTTGAACTTTAGATCAGTAAAGTGTATTAGCGGATGGTCTCAATTAAAATTTCTCGAAGCTACTCGCTGTAATTTTTTGTAACGTTCAGAGACATCATTTGAGGATAAAGTTTACAAATTAGATACGTGTTATTAGTAAAGCAACATATTACGCAGTATCTGTAAAGTTTTATTTGGTTGTATTCTCCTTGATTTTTCGGAAGTCCATGGTCAAATAGTATCTTAGGCAACGGTACGTTTACATTACATCGCCGGGCGAGATAATTAAGAATTATGTCTGTGCGCTGTCTAGTAAAAATCTAACTCGACCACTATCGTCTTACTCATTGTTTTACACGAGTCACGCCGTAATCACGATGTTTGCCTTTTTCGGCTTTTATCGTGTTTTCGTTTGGTTCGTGTAGCAGATCCTCTTGACCGTCAAATCTTGTGCCGCCTATCGGCACAATGTGAAGGAAAAATAATTTTTTTTTTTTCGCTCAACACCAGTGAACGTGTGCCCGCACACACGCGTGAATAATCCGAAAGAATGTGAAGCCGTGTTATTTCGACAGAGCTTCGGACAAAGCTGATTGTCATAAATTATAAACATAATTGATTATTACACTTCGAAATGTATCTTACAAATAACATATTTTTAGAAGAAAAAATTATTCGATAGATAACAAAATGATTTATAACATGGATCTAAGATTCTTAGGTCCATGATTTATAAGCATTCTCTTATTGCATTAATAAACATTATTTAATCATCGACAACGGTGACGAACTTTTTCGCAAACGCAGCAATTAGAGAGAAACTATTACGGTATAAGCAGTAAAAAAAAAAAATTAATCGCGGCTACAAATCGTTTATTTCTTCTCCGTTGAACTAACTCGTTGGAATTCGTTTCAAAACATTATTATTTGTCGAAATCTAACATACCATTGATTCCCTCTGGATAATTCGATCGAATGTTTAGAACGTTCGGGTCAGAGAGGACAGAATGTGTTTGTTTGAATATAGCATCGCACACATACCGGTCAATACATAAATATCCAGCTGATGTCGATGCTATTTTACAAACCACAGAAAGTCTTATTAAATAATTGATTTCTTCAGTTATATAAAAAATTGGCGGATGTAATTTTTCTTAATACACATCGCATGATAATCTCTATTCAAAGCGCAGAGTAATAGAGAAATATTCCACCGGTTATCGTATATAAGCTTCTTCGGGATACAAAGCGTGATTTTGGCATTAATGTTAATTACCTCTCGTAAATAAAAAAGACGGGATAAAGAGCTATCGCTGCTACTGCGCCGCTGACCGTGATCTTTGTCGTAACGCACGTGCTGCAACGTCCTAGAATGGTGTCCTGCGCGGTCGCTAGCGGAAGCTGTACTCCTGACGAGTACTCGATCACGCGCGAACGGAGCCGGTACTTTCGTGACTGCGAGATGTTGAGCGCGAACTGGGAAAGCCGAAGTTTCACGGACAGTAACGTAACAACGATTAAGAGCGTATACGCGGCGCTTTAACGTGCAAGGGCCCGCGGTGATTTTTGAAATCCCGAGAACAGAATCTGACCCGTAGAATACGGTATGCATTTCCTCGGAGTTAATTAGTAGAAGTGCATCACGCACAACATGCATTTCCAGCGAAATGCAGTACGAAGAAATGCATCATTTTCTGCAGGCGAAAAAAGAAAGTGAGACTTTACTTATATAATTTATAAAATCTATTGTCAACAAAGTATCGTAAATTTTTCGATTAGTTCGGGAGCTTATTTAAGTTAAAATATCGTCATACTAATATTTTTTTAAATTTTCAAGCACTGTTCGTGAATCTTCGAAGCTCATCTCCGTGGATTTTCTTTCCTTAGCTAATTACGAGATTTACAATCGATTTACCTCCATATTAACAATATATCTAGAGTAGACTTTGTACCCCTAATATACACCTTGTGATAATACATGAAAAAATTTTGCGCCATTTATTACATCATGTTTCTACATCAAAATTTATTTTTTTTTACAACGGATAATTTATCTGATAGCTTTGTTTTTTTTTATAGCATGTTTTTCTAACTCTACTAGATAATTACACGATTGTAATTTAGCGTTATACAAGAGTATCTCTCTCTTCTTCTCTCGTATGACCTTCTCTCGCGAATTTTGAAATTATAAGTAGAATTTATTTTGACTGCATCATATATTTCGAAATATTTGAACATTCGAGGATTCGAAAGCAATCCGCATTCGGGTCGATTTTATTAAACGTTTATTATATCGGCATTAAAATTTAAAATTTTGAAGCACACATGCGCGTATACAGAGCGATGAAATGGAGCGCAAGCCAAACTGTATCCTTCTTCCTCGCTGGAACTTAGTAAAGACGTAGCACGTAATGTAAATTACATTCTAGACAATTATTTCACGATGATCGACACTTTTCGCTTAAATTAATTCGATTATGACGCAATCTACAATCAATGAAACCAATGATATCGAAAGCACACACACACACACACACACCCATACACACGTCATAAACACGTAAGCGTTTGCAAACGCCGTAACCCTTTCGCTCGTTGTCCCTCTCACTCGTCTGCTCTCGAAACGTATGATTTTACAAACTCTTTAATTTTTTTAACGAAAACGAGATGTAGCAGTGTCACGATCGACGCTACGATATAACTGAAGAAACATTTCGCATTTACTCGTGCGATTCTGAGTATTTTATCGGAATCTCAAATCCATCGCGTTTTAAGGCCATTCTTACATTCCGAGAGACTCTGTCATGGAGATGCAAACACGATCGGTTCCTTTTCTAAAATTGTACGGGATAAACGTTAATATAGATGAATCTTTCAATACGAGCTCTTAACTTCAAGTATTTCACGTCTTTCATAATTCAGCAATCGAGTGCATAAGCGTACCACTTTGTCACGCAACCTCCTTGCCTTCACGAAGCGCACACACTGTCTAATTTATCGAAATCAAAATACCTGAACTATGCGTGTGGTGTTTATGTTCCCTATTACAAGTAATTTACGCAGTAGCTTCTATGTTGGTAAGACGTAGATAGAATGTCAAAAGCGGAATTGAATTTTTTTATTTTAATTATTATTAACATCGTCGAAAGTGTATCGAAAATTTATCGAAATTATCTCGCTGACAATGAAGATCTACTGCTTCACACGAAACCATTGACAAGTGTATCGGGTATATTGCACATGGAAAACGAGTGGAGCAAATTGAGCAGCTGTCGTTTAAGCTTCTCAGTAGGATTAATGCTTTTTAAATGACTATAGATTTCAGAAGACAAAATGATCGGCGCAGGGGGAGGGGGGGCTTCGTGATTCAATATCGATACAAACTTAATACAGTTACAAACAGAACACTCACGCATTAAAAAAAGGTGTAGTTAACGGAAGTCGCTACGCAACAGTACGGATGCAGATAACATCAATAGGTATCGGTATCCATAAATTTTTTCTGAGGCAATTCAAGAGCCATTGATCTTCGGAACTCTACCATTTTTAACGCTATAAGGAATTGTAATAGTTTGCGATAGATTACTAGTTGAATTTCCTTCCTCTAATTTTCTCCCATTTATCTTCCTCTTTCGTCAACGGCCAATAAAGAACAAGTTATTCAAGTGCACTACTCAACTTAAGTCTATTCTAATGTGCGAGTCTTAATGATTTTGGTGAACTTTATTTAACAAAAAAAAAAACGTATGCACAATCCGCGCTAAAACTGTCGAATTTGCTCGTGTAAAATAGCTTATATATAATAATAATTATGCATGGGGGTAATGATACTGGCTCACAGGCATGGTAAACTGAAACGCACTTGGATAATTTGCTGTTGTTCATTTCGATTATATTCGTAAATAAAAAAGGTTAATATTCCTCCTCGTCGTCGGGCGCAAGTCCGTCACCTTCCAATTCCTCGGGTGGTGCAAAACCGTCCTGAAAAGGAGAAATGAAGCAGAGAATTGAAGCAATTAATCGAAGGAGTTCTTACGACTGCAGACTTATTATACAAATGTAAATTTTACCTCTGTTGCATAAAGGACTTCTAAAATTTTCTGTATAATAGGTGGAGGATCGCCGCTGTTGTCGCAATCTTGGCACATGACTTCTATGTCGCGCAATTTTCCGAAATAGAAATCTCTCTCCTTTTCCAGACCTTCCACTGACATTTTCAGTTCAACCAACTGAAACATTTCATTCATTTTTATTGGAAGATAGAAAAAAAAACATTTACTGATATAAATATTCTATTGAATAAAATATGACTGTACCTGTGCACTAAGTTCTTCAATTTTCCCGTTATCGCCACGGTTGCCGACTGTGGTTTTGGGTGGTGCACGGTACGGCTGCTGAACTTTATTTACTAGATAAAAAAAAAAATACATTACTTTACAATACTGTGGTAAAAATCATAAAAGTAATTATTATTTATTACTTCTGTAACATAAATTAGAGTATTTTTTTTGTAACTTGTGTAAAAATTAACAAAGCTATCTAAACGTATAAATATACAAGCTATTTTGTAACAAGCAAAACAATGCATGCAGAAATACAGTTCAAAATCATGCACGATATGTGTATTTTACAATCATGATAAGTCTTATAGAAATACATATATAAATTAAATCTTTGAATTATGTAATAAAAGAAAATTGCAAGGCAAGTGCTAAGAGATAATTCTCATAACTTGTACAATAATATAGTGTAATAAATTTCGTTTCAAGCGTTTGATAGTGATGGCGATTATAGACCGTATTGATACAGACGATTATCGTAAATTAGTGGAAGTTATAAGATAAGTACTTGCATCAGATTAAGGGAACAATATATATTGTGACTACATAACTCATTCATAGACTTATGTGTTCACTGAAATTTTGCCTGTCTTAATAGTCATTTTTTTTTTCTTTACATACTGCAACAATCAGTATTATTAATGAAACTAAACATCTCGGATGCCGTATAATCAGTGAATACAGAAACTACACAGGAACACACACATTAATGTACTCTATACTTTCCTTCATGTACCTCAGTATTAAAACACATACGGAGCTAGAGAAGCAAAATATAAGTAACGAGAATTACAATTAATGAAAAAACAAAAAAAGAGATATTGAATTTCACCTAAACTGTTTGTACTATCTGCACGCATGGTAGATGGCGGTCCCTCACCTAAAGGCAAATTTCATTTCACGTTATTGAGGGCGCATTGTGCGATAACCCGCAAATGAAACTCCAGTTGAAATATTTGGTAATACGGGGAAGTATATGAATTGAGATATCGCGGATATCCCTTATATATAAAATTACAGGATAGATTTTTCAGATCGTTTATAATCCCTCTAACTGACTCGCGGTATTCATTCTGTGATATTTACCTTGCCTGCTATACAGTAAGACCAGATTAACGTATCAAGGGATAATCAAGCACTCAAGTCGGTTATTGATTAGTACAAAATCTGTGTTAACGTTACAAGTTTTCAAAATTGTACTGAAAAGACTGTACTGTTCTCTTTCTCTCTCTCCGTATTATCGGATTCCATTCTCTTTAAAACTGTGTTAAAACTCCAAAAAATTTTTCTTTCGCATCAAAGTAGTAAAGTCATGAAATGATGTACCAGTAGTACGAGGAGCCGGTTTAGTCGAACTTATTTCACGTGGTGAGGCACGTTTCGCGTGAGTACCGCCGCGTGGTGCGTTATTTCCGCCACTACCCATAGACTCGCCTCCTCGCATAGTGAGCGCGTCGTACGGCTCCGCTCCCGAGTAGTTCGCATCAAAGAATTTCTTGAACCATTGCAAAAACTCAAAGTTGTCTTGGAACCTGCCCTTCACCAGCCTATCAATTGGCACAATCTGCAAAGGAGGAGTGGAAGACGTGTGTGCAACAAAAGAAAATAAAACAAAATTAAATATAATTCCGAATTCCGAGCGTGCGCGAAGCGTAAAACGGTTCTACATTAAAATTAATTTTAACGCTAGAAAATTAACGTTTCCTCGACGATGAAATTGTTAAAAAATTTAAAAATAAATAATCCCGGGGAATCCCTTCTATCCGCAGTAAATCGGGATGAAACGTGTGGAGGAAACATTTAACACATCCTAATCTACATACACATAAGAGAATAACTTCAACAAAATTCAATGATTTACATGTGAATATATGCAACATATTTCTATACATCTTCCGTAGACCAGAGATCGACTTCTGCGTTTTTTTTTTCCTTTTCAAATCTTCATGACGTGGACAATGAGATATAAAGGGTGCATGTAACGTGAAGAGTACGTGTGTTTGCATGTAACACTGTAAAGATAGCTTGTAACATGTTTATGCATATGCAGCCTCAAAATAACGTGGCTGAAACAAATTGGGATGTATAATAACTATTGCGCTATAAATTGCATGTGCATGTGCGTGTGTGGTACACACGTGTGTGTGTGTGTGTGGTGTCTTTGCGAAAATTGTTTCATTAATTTAAGACATCTAACGGCATGCAAGAAGCGGCGGCGCTAAAAGTCGTGAACTGCAACAATATACCCAGTTGCTGCCGCGGGACGATGTTACGCTGCTGTATGTGCCTTTGTTGCATTTGCGGCTGTTTCGACTGCGGCGGCAACGGCACCAGCTGCGGATTCGACAGGGTGTGCGTCCCGTCCACGCCGGAGCCGAGCGGTATGCAGCCGCGCGCCTCGTATGCGTCATATTCACGTCCGTCGTAATTTGCGTCGAAAAACTTTTTGAACCACTGTAGAAACTCAAAGTTATCTTGAAAGCGCCCTTTTATCAGCTTGTCCACTGGTATTACCTGAACCATTTCCACGGTCGTGTCATTATGATTTTCGCCTCCGCAGCAAGGTTTATGCTATTAGACCGCGGGAGGGGGAGGTACAATGTGCGATCTTTAGGATCCTGAGGTGATCATCGCAGTTTTACACCGCGCGTATCTCACAACGGCTTACCTTTTTTATTTTTTTTTTACACGTTTTGTCTAAAAATCATCTTTATTCTTACGGCTAAGCCTCTTACCGTGCGTCTTAAAAGCGACTTACGAGTTCTAGAGAGTTGTTTAGCGGGAGAAGAAGGTCAGCTGTTTGCTCTTACCTTGTCCACGTTCATCTTTTTGAAGCCACCCTGGAGAATTTTGAAATTCTGTATATACTCGTGCTCCAGATTGGTCTTGAACTTGACCCTCTTCAGGGGTACACTGCCCGGGAAGAGCATGTCCATGAACTGACAGTAGACCGCGCCGGTGCACAGCTCCTCGATCTTGGTGAACGACGATTGCAGGCAGTCGTTCACCCACGCGAGCATGTCGTGGCGACTGAGATTGTCGGATGTCATGTTTGTCGCGTACACGTTGACAGCCATGGTCGCTCCGTTTGTTTTAACTGGAAAGCGTACAACGACAGAAGATTAGGGTGGCGGTTGTAGGTTATTAAAACATCGGCGCGGTGCCGAGTGAGCGACGCGACGCGCAGCGTTCGCGCCGCAATCGGCCACGAGTCCGAGTAGATCGGGCTACTCGCGATTCTTATCAGCCCCCGGAGATCAGAGGAACGGATAGAATCGCGATACGGCGTTGCGTCCGGCATTGCGAGCGAAGTCTCGGGATTAACGGCGGGCGGGATGTCTCGGGCCGAGGGGGGACCTGCGGAACGTCCAGAGTCGCCCCGTCGAGTCCCCCCCGAAGGAAGCACGGTCGGTCCGGGGGGAATCGGTCTCCCGGACGACCGAGAGCTCCGGACGGATCTCGAGATCCGCACGGGACATTCCATTCGTCTTTTTTTTCTTTTTTTTTGGTCGGAAACTATCGCGGTCGACATATTCGGCATTCTTTATTCCCGTTGCGCCGCGGTTTTGGGTGCACGAGACCGCCGCCGCCGCCGCTTGGGTGACCTCGTGCGACCGCCGCCGCCGCCGCCGCTGCCGCCCGCCCGTCCGCTCGTTTAATCCGCCTCGTTCGAGCGCACACCCCTCGCGAGGACGACCGTCCACGACTTACCGAGGATCGCGAAAACACGGGTAACACCGCGCGCGCACACACCCGGGAGTGGTTCACGACGGCACGCAGATGACAAATGTGCAGTGTGCACACTAGATGATCGTTCAAACACGCATACACAACGGAAACCCGTAACGGTTCCTTCGTGCGCGATTGGCCGGCGTGGCGGCACGGATCACACGGGGAGGATAGATAGGCAACTCACGGAGCTGGGAAGGACGCGACACGTCACCAGGGGCGGCCCTTTCTCCGACTAGTGACCTACCAATAATCTCGTTCCCCAGTAATTTCCCCACGCGCGGCGAGAGAACAATCTGAACGACAAATAATAACCTCCAAACGTCGCTGTCAAATTTGCCGTTTCCTCGCCGAGTTCACGCTGCGCGTACAAGTTTTTCACAGGTAGGTATCCTGTTCAGTTATACAATATCGTGACAGTACCATGTGATTTATGAGAATTTTTCATAGGCATCCTCCGCTCGTTTGAATGTTTATATAAAATGTTTATGAAAACAGCTGTACGGTAAACATAAGTCATGAGCTATCAGTAAACGCAATTCAGATATCAAATTTAAAAGAAACGTGATTACTCTCTTATCAAATACATTTGGTCGACCAACAAAGGATGCTATTTGACTTGTACAAACAGCAGAGATAAATTAAGGCAAATTAGCAAATATCAAAATAATTGACTCGTGCACAGGCCTGTTCTTTATAGCTGAACTGGCTGCACTAGTTCAGAGTTCATCTTTTTTTCTTCCAGTGTAGAAAGAGAAAGATAAACTGCGAACCGGTGCAGCAGTTAGCTATAAAGAACGGGCCTCCTATCTCCTGACTTGTTTACACTCTATATTTTTTAACGACGGTTCGTGCAAGAGGTCCAGTGCTTTCGTATTTCAGCACTCGAGATGTCGTCCGTCAAGCTGCTGGAGGACAGAATTGCCAATTTGGAGAAGCAAGTGTACGGGCTCGGCAAGACGTTGAGCATCGACGATCCAGCGCCGTCGAACGCCCTCGTCGACCGGCTCACGGACGTCAACTCGTTGATTAATTCGGCAATATCGAACAGAGAGAAACCGAACGCGCTTATCAAGCGTCTGCCGGAGTTGAACGGGTACCTGGAGCCCAATTCCGAGGACGTCGATATGCCCGCGAGCGCCAAGGCGCAGCTGTTGCTGACAATGGAGCCGGAGATCAGGGAGATCCACGCGCTGTTGACGAAAGTGCAGGAACTCGCGCCTGTGTTGGAGTCGGAACGTATAAAAAATGCGCCGGAATTGAATAGCACGTTTAACAAGCTGTCGCTGTCGTATCTCGAGGCTTACGAGGATTCCAAGGAGCTGAACGCTCATGTGCACGATCTGCTGTCTAAATATAACGCAGTTATAAATAGTATATCGGAATCATTAATTATTTTAGATAATGCGGTTACAGCTGCAGAAGTAGCGGCTATGCCGAAGAAGCAGACGGATGATTAACGAGACAATTGTCCGCGGTCCACTTAAATGTAGCAGTTAATTTTTATATCGCGTTTTTAATGGCGTCAATATTTTTCAATTTTGGCTCTTGATTTCTCATAGTGCAGATTCACTTTTATCCCTTATCTTTTAACTTATTTATTATAGAGAAGTGTTTTTAGAGGAGCGAATTTCGGTTCAGCGGTTTGGAAAGGAAATGTCAGACCTTTTTAAAATACATTTATTTACCATTTTTACTTGAAATATAAAAATACGCATTCATCAGTGGATTACGTATATACGTGAAACATACTTTGTCGTTTAATCTCTATAACAATGCATTTTATTAAAAAATAGTAATATATTATATACATTTATCCTAACTACTGTTTATAATTCTATCCATGGTTCATTTCAGGAATCCTCATTTAGGATCTCTGAGACAAACTGTTGATTCGTATATAATCGAACATGCATTATGTATCGGTCTCTCGCGTTAAATAATTACCTTACAATTGGTGTGTATAAAGTGTACTGGAAATATTGAAGATATCACAAAGATAATTATTTTTTAATTTTTCGGGCGGGGCAATAATGAGTTTATACGTGTAAATATAGTAATAAGTAGAAATTTTGAAATACGTGGAGTATGTAAAAAATGTATCTTTAAGAGACCCGTTACACTAATAAATTCTTATACCACATTATCCATAATAAACAATTGCTTTATACAGTATTTACATAATGATTCCTTAATTATATAAGTTCGGCATAATTTTGTCTTTTAATTCTCATTACAAATCGTCACAATTCTCGTACAGAGTTTTAAGCGCTCTCCCGTCGTGTAACAATAACGGCACTTAAGCTTTCCTCATGATAACCCATCGCTGACGCGCGATGCTCGAGAATTATTAAAACACTTTTCGCGCTATCAATAGGAACATTAAAATTGGAAAAAAAAGAGGAAAGACGTGAAAGTACGGACTTTTAAGAAAATTTAGGAAATCTATTTCGAATTTTTCTTCTGTTGAAGAGTTTTTTCTTTTATATATATATATATATATATTCATATATATATATATATATATATATATATATAAAATCACGATCGTTTTCTTATTAAAACTGTGCGATTTTCTTGTCTAAATGAAGCATCGGCTTCTTATACGCTTCGAGAAATTGATAATAATAATAATGATTTAGCCTTCCGTTCGCAAAGCTGGCACTGTTTCGCGCAACCACGAGAGCGCTGGTTCCAAGCTCGAGTAAATTGCCGGATGACCCCTCGAACATCTGCTGTGATGACTTAGTAATCCCTGGATTTCCCATCTTTCCGAAGCACCCTGCGATTCACTGGCACACATCAGTGGCGCTCCTTCGTCATTCTACAAACACACAAATTAATTAGTATATAACTTACAATTTTTTATTGCTAATATTAACGACTTTTAATTAATGTTCCGAATATCAGGTGTATCATAAGTATTTACATATTTACGATTTATGTGATATAATGCTGCGTACTTTATAATTACAATCAATTAATTGAATATGATTATTTAAAGAGATGAGTGTATTTGTCAAGATTTTTTTTACTGAGTTTTATTACTTTTTTAAAATGATAATTATAGAAATGAGCGTTGCACTTTTCGTAGCGTTGAACTTACGTAACAGGAGCCTTTGTCCGTGCATATATCGTGTTCTGTGATGAATCCTGCATAATGACTCGTGGCGTTACACTTATCGGAATCATTCGTCAGAACAGACAAGAATTTGAGATATTGCTGCAAATTCATTTCCCCATTCATAAGGAATCCCCACCCTGCCGTTACGCAAATCTGCCTCGGCTAAAAAAATATCACCACGTTAGAGATCAGAAACGAATTATTTAAATAACTTATTAAAATTAATTATTAAAATTAATTATTTAAATAATTAACACTATGCCTTATCAGAGAATTCAATCGAAAGTATATACCTGGATAGACTGTCGGGGAAGACATACGGCACTAACGTTTCTGGAAAATACTAACGGCTCCCCTAATTCGATCAGAGCGATGTCATTATTATACAGGAACTGATTATACTTCACTTGAGGATAGGGCACGATGTTTTTAACGGCGTTCCCTTTCAACATATTCCCGCCGGTGAAAAGTTGCCATCCGCTCTTCTCCTTGTGTCTACAGAATCAAGAGAGAATCATATTATATATATAAAAGTTACAACAATATGGCTCGCATGTTGTGTCAAAAGTAAAACGTCCCATTTTATAAATCAAAGTAAAATTACAAGACTAAAAAGACGTAAACGTTAAGCAATTCTTAATCGACTTTTTAACGGATTATCTCTTCGTAAGTAAATTCATACATTCGTTTCTGTATCAGATTACCTGTAGATAAACGTTAAGAAATTTTTAATCGATTTTTTTTTAACGGATTATTATCTCTTCGTAAGTAAATTCATACATTCGTTTCTATATCAGATTACCTGTGAATACAAGAATAACTGGCTAGAGCGTGCATAGGGCCGAGTATACTGGCTGTACAAGCGGTTCCGTCTTCCGATTCCTTCAACAAGGCCACGCTGGACCATTGCTCATGATTGGCTGTAGTCCCACCTGCCAATCTCGCGGTCGGCTCCTCCGCATAACGCAGACCGCAAGTAAACTCCTGGCACGACACTTGCACGAGCCTGTCCGACACGCAGAATCCCACTTCCTCTAAATTCGTGACTAGCGGCAGGCGATAATTAGGGTTTGTCTTCAGTCTTAGAATTTTCTGACTTCTATCCCACGCGAATGATTTGATCGTCTCGTCAGATCCGGCGAATCCCAGAGCCTGACAATAGGAATCGCTGAATTCTTCGCTCCACCCGTCCGAGCAGACTAGTCGATAATCGCCGTCGTGTTGTCTGCACATAGAAATTTAAATTTTTTTCATATAGCACTAATGCAAAGCAGAAATATTTGTTATTAAATTTTAGAATATTTATTTAAAAAAAAACAGAAAGTCAAGGTTCAAATGATTAAGAATCAAACGATAAAATAAAGGGCAATGAGCCAAAAATTCCATATAATATATGGAATTTTTGTAAGCACCACGACTTTGGCTCATTGCCCTTTATTTTATCGTTTGATATTTATTTTTATTGCTTCCCAATATTTTGAAGAATATTTTGTTCTATTTACATAAGCATCTTTATAAAAAGATGCTTCCCTAAAAAATTGTAAATATACTTATTAATTCATTTTGCTCACCTACTAAAAAGAATTATAAATTTTTATGATTGTTAGCTATTTTTTAGTGAAAAGTACGTTATTAATCCGCGATTATTTCGAACTTACAAAAATAATTTAGCAATCAGGAAGATATTTTGATATTTGTGGTATTTATTCGGTTTGTATTTAAATACCTTATTTTCAAAAATGGCACGCGATTAGTCGGTTCGCTCGCCGTGCTGCTATCCGTTTCCGCGTTAGTGAGATTTCGGTCCGCGGTGGTATTGGCGATTAGGCAATCCCATTCGTCCGAATAATCCGGGCAATTCTCGATGCCGTCGCAGATTTGATTCCGGGGGATGCATCCGCCGCCGGTTTGACACTTGAATTGATCCAGGGCACAGTCGCACAATTTCTCGTCTTCCCCGTTGACGCAATCGGCAATTCCGTTGCAATGCCACGCTTGCGGGATGCACCACTTCTCTGTTGGACACAGATATTCGTTGTTCCCGCAGTTTTCCGCGCAATTGTACTCGTCCCGATGCCCTTCACAGTCGGGCCGACCGTCGCATTGCCATAATCCCGGAATGCATCTTCCTGCAATCATGAAATTTCATAATTCCATCGAGATTTTGTTAAGAGTTATTATATATTTGATATCTCAATCGTTAAAATTGATCAAGTTTTATTATTCGTTATAGCGATAAGGTTCATCGATCAAGATCCATCGAATCACTTCATATCACGTAATAAAAAAACTGAAGGTGTTTCAGATATCGTTCAAAATTAAGAAGAGAATTTGAAAATTTTAACAAATGATCAAAAATTCATTATTTTATTATTCTCCATAATAATCATTTTATCATTACTTTCGCGTATCGTTTTGCATATTAATTATACTCGACACTTACCGTTTGGACATTTAAATTCGTCAGACTGGCACTGCCAGTTCTCGCAGTCGTGCTCATCGCTGCCGTCGTCGCAGTCCACAATCTTATTGCAGACGAGATGCCTTTTCAGGCACTGCCCGTTGGCGCAGCGGAAGTTACCAGGACAACCCTCCGCCTCGCAGTTCAACTCATCCGAGCCGTCGGAACAGTCGTTCTCGGAGTCGCATTTGGCAGATTGCGGCACGCAATACGCGCCGCTTCTGGACGTTCCGTTAACGCACTGAAATTGGCCTGTGGTGCATTTCGAGAGGATCCCAGGAGAATCCGAAGAATCGCTAACGACAGCGGTGGTACTCTCGATCTTCGCGTTTATCGCCGAAGTTCGCGCGGTCGACCCTTCCGTGACGCGATCCACTTCCGCTTCGTCGCTGAATAATTGATCCGGGAAAAAGGCGGAGTGTTGCTCAGCCGCTTCTTTCGCTCTCGCGTTGGCACGACCTTCATCGACCGTCGTCTCGCTCGCCGTCGTTCTTTCCGTGATGCCCGGCGCGATCGCGGGACGAGTGTAATTTCGCATGATTACGTAGGGCTCCGTGACTGGTGCCGACTCTATTATCTCTTCCGACACGGGTATGAAGCTGGGATAATTCTTGGGCTTCGTCTCCGCGACCGCACCCCTATTTTCGCTTCTCTCCGCGCTCCCCGTGTTTCTCCACTTCGATATAGGCAGGATGTTGCCCTCCTTGTCGGCCACGGTGAACCTGGGTACATTCGGGTCTATGTCCGAGCTCACCACACTGTCGTCGAGCTCCTCGCGGTCTGCAGTGGCAATCGACGGCTCCGTCTGGGAAAGGATGGTCGGATCGTACCTTTCCGTTAAAACTCCGTCTTCACTCTGATCCTCCAAGCTCAGGTCCTTTTCTTTTTTATATTTGTATTTGTCGAATCCCTTCTTGTCGATCGGCTTCTTCTTGCTCTCCTGACTCTTCTCCAGAGGTATCACCCTGAGCGCTTCCTCGGACAGTTCCGAGTCGAGCAACATCGGCCTCGGCGGAATCGTGGTGAACAGCATTCTGTAATCTATCATGGGCTGCGTGTCGTCCAGCACTTCCGTGACCGGCCTTACGTCCTCCGTGGTGGTGGCATCGTTAGACATAGGCGTGGTGCCTTCTGCGCCACTTGCAACATTTCTCTCCGTCGTGGACATCATACGAGTAGTCTCAATTTTCATGCTTTCCGTCGCGCTTTCAATCGCCCTGCCGTTTTCATCGTATTCTATCTTCCCAGATCCTAGGCTTACGTTACTCTCGTACATCGTTGTCGCTGCCATGCTTCTTTCCGACGTGCTATTCGTATCCATTATATCGCTGGGTGCAGTAACAGCATTCTCCTTCTCGGCCTCGCTCTTCCTCGTCTCATCATCGACGTCATCCGTCGAAACGGTTTTGTCGCCAGCTTTCATTTTCTTGTCCTCACTCGGCATCTCTTCGCTCAACGTCGTTGATAATACGTCGCTTTCCGTCGTTTGCAGCTCCTCTGGCAGGATCGGGATCTGCGCTGTGGTTTTAGTCTCCATCAGCGTGGCTTGAGTTGTGATCTGCGCTGCCGTAACAGACGCTTCCTTCTCGTCGGATTGGCCAACGTTCGGCGGTTCCGTATTGTTCTCCTCGTGTTTGCCGTCGTCGATTACGGTAGTGATTTCAACTTTGTCGGTTGCCGTCGTCGTGGACATTTCCTGTTGGATTTCTATGGGCAACACCGGTTCTTGCGTGGTCAGCCTACCGTCATCCATTTGATCGCCTTCGATTTTCGTAACTATCGGACTTTGCGTCGTCTCGAGAGATATCCTCTCGTTCGTCCCGTTCTTCTTCTTTATGACATCGAACGGGGTTAGCGACGAAAGCGGGCCATTATAAGGAACCTTTACAGAATCGATATCCTTCAAAATCGCTTTCTTGGATGACTCTATGACTTTATCGTGTCGATATCCCTTCGACAAGGCCTCATCCGTAATGTCGTTGTAATGATCTTCGACAGCGTTTTCTTCTGGTTTCTCTGAGCTCGTAATACCGCTTTCTATCGCGATACCTCCAACTACTTTTTTTACTTCGTTTCCAGCCGAAGTTATAACGACTTTAGCAGATTCTTCCTTATCTATGGGTTGCATTGTAGTTTGAGAAATTGAATCTGCTGATTTACTGTCTATCGCCAATGGAAACACTTTCAATTCTTCGTCGTTGTCTTTGGAGAAACCGCCATTTTTGCGATCCGTAATGTCTCCTGTTCCATCGATTAATTTCGCAGAATTATTTTGATGCAACATGCTTATAAAAAATTTTATATTATTTAAATTCTGTGTGATTTCACTGATATTTAAATTGTTCTTAACAGCATCCTTAGCGTTGTTGCTTACATCATCTGCCGTACTTTTCTGCGTGGTTTCCTTCTTGGTATCCGTCTTCTTTTCATCGTTCGTGGAATGTGAATTAACGTCATTCAATAAATCTTTGGTTTCAGTCTCGTTCGCGCTGCCTGCATTATTACGTATTAACGGCCGATGCGTTATAACATCATCGATGTGGGTTTCGAAAGGATTAGGAACGTCTTGCTCGTCCTTGTCTAAGCGTGGCGCTTTCTTCATGCTTTCCTTCTCCTTCTGAACGTCCGGTAAGAACGGTGACATATCCTCAACCGGTCGCTCGTCGGTCTTTCCCGTGAAATGATCCACTGAATTTTCTGGGAATATCGCCGGGTGAAGGGGATGACTCGTCGTATGTTCTTGAATTTCATCGGGGCGCGCCGCGTGTCTATTACCGCTCGTGTGAACGATATTCTCATTAGAACGCGTCGTGGATGAGCCGATCGAGGCTGCATCCTCTGCAGATTTGTTCACTTTCGTCGTCGAGTTTTCTACCCTCAGCGATTTATTCGTCGCTTGTTCCGGAATGAGTTGCGGAATTATCGCATGTATTTCTACTGGTTGCTCGGTTTTTGGTATCAGCATGATATGCTCGTCGTCATTCGCCGCTGATTTCGCGATAGGTTCCCTCAACGGCTCGACGTTGTGGGCGAAATTTTTCGGTACTTTAGGAAAGATCGTTGTCGGCATATGCTCGATGACATTTTTCTCGTTCGTATCCGTTGGCAGCGCGGGCTCGGGCGCGTGTTCTTCCCGATATCCAGGTATTGGCTGAGTAAATATGTCAGTCGGAGTAATTTCTGGTATCGTAGTTGTCTCGCGTACTTTAGTACTATATGTTTCTGAATTTCTATTACTTACACCATTTATTTCTATTGTATGGAAATGTCCTGCAAATGAATGCCTATTGTTGTTTATGAATTTAGTAGTGAATTCTGTTCTTTCTTCTACTGATGTGACCGGCACGATTGTTGCCGCAGTAGTCGAACTGAGATGTTCAAAAACGTCTGAGTTGGTGCTCGATTTTTGTTTGTTTATTAAATCGTGTAATAATTTATCAATCGAAGAATTATGGATATTACTTAAATTTGCATCAAAATTTATTTCTGTAGTAGAGTCACTTTCTTTACCTTCCTGATGAGGATTTTGTGTAAATTGCTCTGTGACTGATTCCTCGCGATTCTCAGATTTGGTTGATGTAATATATACATTCTGTTTTAAATCTTCATAATTTAAAGTGGTAAGACCGGCCTCGACGGTTGCGCTTTCAGTAATTTCATCACTCTTACTGGTATGAGACTGCATCGTCGTTGTTTCCGTTTTAGTTTCTACGTTATCAGTGATATCTTTAGATTCATTTTTAGAGATTAAAGGCGTTACCTTTAAAGATGCATCATCATCTGGATTCTCATTAGGCTTTACAATTGTGGTTAAAGTTTCGTCATTTTTGGAATTACTTTTATCTGTTAAATCGATAAGAGATTTAGGTACATCAGTCGTACTAGCATCGTCTGAAAGTGACGTCTGTGTAGATGATTCAGCGGACGTATTGTCATGAGACGTCGGCTTAACAGGGAATTCAGGCTGATTGGATATTTCAGTTTTCGATTCCAAATACGGTTCTGTTGTCGTCAAATAGTCGTGCGATTCCGTTTTCGACTTCACCTCACTATCTGCTGCGATAGTTGTTGCTGATTCTGTGACAGGCATTGACTTTACAGTAGATTCGATTTCTGGTTTTGCAGTGGGCTCTGATTCAGAAGCAGGATTTGGTTCGGCAGCAGGCTCTAATACAGTTGTGGACTCCGGTTTAACAGTGTGTTCTGATTGAGCAGTAATTTCAGGTGGAATGGTAGGTTCTGGCTCAGCAGCAGGTTCTGGCTCAGCAGCGGGTTCTGGTTCAGCACTGGGTTCTGGTTCAGCGGCAGGTTCTGGTTCGGCACTAGGTTTTGGTTCAGCATTAGGCTCTGGTTCAACACTAGGTTCTGGCTCGGCACTAGGCTCTGGCTCGGCACTAGGCTCTGGCTCGGCACTAGGCTCTGGCTCGGCACTAGGCTCTGGCTCGGCACTAGATTCTGGTTCGACAGATGGTTCCGGTTCAACAGTAGGCTCTTGTTCAAAGACAGGCGCAGTAAATGATTGCATTGTTGATTCTACAGTAACTAATGGTTTAATGCGAGCCTCTGCTTCGGTGGTAGTTTCTATTGAATGATGCGAATGTTCGTGGTTCCAGTGAGAATTATCGTTCTCGAAAACGTGTTTCGTCGTTGTAGATTCAGACTGCTCAGGATTAACGTGTTCTGTTTTAGGTTTCGACGCGTCCGTTTCTGCTGAACCCGTATTAATGTTCGTATTTTCCCAAGTATTTGGATTTCTGGGTTCGAATTCTACCTCGCTTGGATTTCTGCTTCTACCTTGGAAATCATTAATTGGTTCCGTGCTGGATTGTGGCATCACGTCGTCCATTTCGACATTACTCAAATCGCTGTCATCCACACAAGTTTTGCCATCGTGATGCAACATTTCTCCTGCTTTGCAAATACACACGAATGTGCCAGAGGGGTAATCGTATTTACAATTTCCGGTGCACTCGAGATTGCCGTATTCACACTGATCAATAAGCTTTCCCACGTGAAGTCTATTCAAATGATACTGTCCGATCATGTTACCATTTTTTCGTAATACATCCTCGATGTACTCCTGACTCTCGTCGGGAGCGTTCCGAGGTGGATGACTTATTCTGAATCTTACTTCGCCTTCCTTGTTAATGTCGTATACTTTGATTACAGAATTGCCACCCGCCTGTCGAAGAACGTTCCCTAGATGCTCCTCTATCTCGGCGCTCACTTGTCTGTATACTCGTGATTTAATATCGCTGAAATCGTCATTCAAATTAAAATCGTCTAATCTCAAAGTTCCATCGAGAGCATCCGGTACAATGTCGAATAGCGTTTCATCAGTCGTAGGCCACGATGGGAAAGTCGAGGTTAAAGGCGGCGGACTTAACGGCGGATCCTTCACGTATTCTCGACTTCCAGCCGGCTGTATTTCGTTAAATTGAAGAGTGCTGTTTTCTTCCACGTTCTCTAAGGGTTCCGTAGGCGGTACTGAGAATAATACGCCAGCTAAAAATTAAGACACCATATAATTTTATTTTATATATATTTAAGTGTCTATTTCATTGTAGTATTTTTAATTATATTATTACGGTTTGTGCACGCTCTGTAAAAACAGAATTTGTAAAGTTAAAAGCAAAAGAAGCCGTCTTACCTGCGGCCAAACTGGCGATGATCACGGCGATCACTATGACGACCAACAGCGCACACCCCCAAACCGTTCTTCGTCCGTACGAATTTCTGGACCTTTTGTCCTTCGTGACGTAAAGTTTCTCGCCCCTGCAACACAATTTCGTTGCCACATAGAGACGCGGTGAATCGATCGCACATAAACGTCTTTCTTGTCCTAAACCCAAAAAGCGTATTTTATACAGCGTTGCGCGTGTAACGCGATTCCTACGCAACCTTCGTCAATGACCAACCAAAGGGATTAGAAGCTTCCTTGGTCGCACCCAGTCTACAATGCCCGCGCTTCACCTAATCTCTGGATCATGTACCATGTGTAATGTGTTGCGTCTGGCGCGCGCTTTCCTCGCTTAAGTAAGTTTCCGATTACATTTCGAAGAACAGTGATAACATGTCGTGGGATTTGGTTTGCGTTCTGATTGGTTTAGGGTACTATACTATATTTTCGGGATTAATCCTCGATCGGTTAATCAATCGGCGATTCCTACGTTTTGTATAGCAGTAGTCGTGTCTACATTCTTCCGTTCGGAGAAGCCGCCTCGACGTCGGATAGGACACGAGACGAAGGGCAAATTCCTGGACGTGCAGTTTTTTTTCTTTTTTTTTTACGAAGAGATTTTCGTATTCGATTCGACGCGGGGGAGGACTGATAGCATATAAGCGTGTTAGTAACGCGACCGCGTGCCCCTAAGAGACACCTAAAAGTATATTCCACTAAGACAGTTCCCAGCTGTAATTTTTTTTTGTTTTTTTTTTTCCTCGAAAGCATCCGTCAAGTACCTGAGGGCTGTCAGCCAGTGGGAATAGTCGACCAATCCGGCGGCGGGGTCTCTCAGGCTGAGTCCCTCGCGGCCGACGCCGGGGCCCAAATCAAAACGCACTCCAGCTACGGTTGTTTCAACCTCGGCCTCGGGACCCCTGCTAAGTACCGTGACAACAGAAAACACCGTCTAACTCTCTAAACTCTCGATGTGAGGCTTTTTCGATTCAGCGGCTTGGTCAAGCTCTCTACGTGCTATCGGCTTATAGCTGGAGCTAAAAACGATGCTATAAGGCGTCTCTATGTATCGCCTGACGATTCCCTCGGCAACCGGACACACACATGTACGCTTCTTTCTAGGAAATATACCTCTATCCTACACGCATGTTCCCCGCCCCCAAGACGTTTTCACCGCAACTCTGATATATCTACATAGTGCTCGCGATATGATTATGCTAAAATGGGTATTGAGACGAATGTAATTATTTATGCGCTATTATTGCTTCCGGGATGTAGGTATCTAGTAGCGTCAGTATGTTTAGTTTGTATGGCAAACTCCCGTTTTTCGTAGCGTAGTTAACATTTTGTCACATGCGCAATACAGCATTTTCCATTTATATAAAAAAAAATGGTCTTCGATTCTGAAAATTCTGCAATGACAAAAAGTTTTGTCTAAAAACAATTAAGATGTCCGGTACATATAATATAATTATAGAGGATGAAGATTTTATAAGAGCATGTATGTTTTCTCCTCTCTTTATCTCTTTGTAAACAACGTTCCCTCTGTATTTAAAAATTCGGAAGAATTTATGCACGCTGGGCTGGATAGTCACACGAGAAACACAGTTAATAAGAGTTAGGAGGCGGAGCCAGAGATGAAATAAAGGATGCGTAAGCGCCAGAGACTCACTCGTTCGCCAAATCGACAAATAACTCGTTACCTGATGTACTTTCGATGCTCGTTAACCGGCACGAAGTACTCCTCGTATGGATCAGCTGGTACCTCGCAGGCTTCCTGACCCTTCGTCTGAATATTGTTGCCCGTGTATGGCCTCATCGAGACCAGTTCCAGGTTTACGGCCTCGATTTGCTCCTTCTTTCCGGACTCTACGGGAAAACGGGAAAGATCGTTCATACCATCGGCGTGTATATCCGCGCGTATAGTGCAACCGGTTTTCATTTTCCGGTCACACACGAAACAGCGGAGAAATTCGCATTCCGCGAAATAGTAATGAGGCTAAACAGGGCCAGAGTTTCCTGCTTCTCGCATAGCATAACGAGGGAAGCAAATTCGCACGAAATATGAGGATTGTATGTTAATAAGGGGCTATATAAACAATTAATGAGAAGAAGAGATTGATGATATAATTTAATTTGGATAAGAAGGTAAAAGAGGAAAACTTGCTGTTACTGTCGATGCTGACAGATACAAGATCGTAATCGAGCGTCGAGATGGAGAGATCAGGGGCATCGTGTGTGTTTAACAATCGCGACGCATGTCGACGGATCCACTGTGAAAAGCCCCGGATGCGGTATTTCCTGGGATTTTATCGGCCACGAATGACTTTTTCTCGGGAAACCGGTAGCAATGTCGATGCTGGTAATTAACGATTGAAAGTCTCGCTCTTACTAAAATCGTGTCCTACGGGCGACGGAAATGGCAGTCGATAAGCTCTTCCATAGCGGTTTCTCGCGATATCTTTCTTTCCATTTGTACATTATCTATATGTGGCATGCTAGTAGCGAAATATCGTGTACGTGATGCCATTCGATGCTCACCGTTGATCTGCACGCTCGTAGCACTGTTGTTGAGGAAACTCGCGTCGTTGTTATTGCCATTCCCGTGGACGCCGTTGAGCTTCGGCTCCGGCACGCTCTTCTCCGTGTTATCGGCCGGCACCTCGATTCTCGTTTCCGTTTTATAACACGGCTCCGAGCTCGGCTTAATGGGCTCGACGTAGTGCTGGGAGATGAAGGATCGCTGGTGGCCATTTTCTACCGGCGCGCCGCTGTCCGCCGAGGGCTTGCGATCCTGGTTCAAGGCCGCTTGCTGGCTGCCGTTCTCCAACTTGGAACCGCTCACGCACTCGTCCTCGCTGGCGAACGCCGGATTGTCCGTGCCGGCGGCATCCGACATCTCTCGATCGCGTCGCCGAAAGCTGCTGAACCCTCACCTGATAACGTCCCGCCTGGTGTCGTCTGTCATGCGTCTCGTTTCTGCAATCAAAAAAATTGAAAATTTGTATTGTTAAACTGTTTCGATCATCAAAGTAAAGTCTTGCTACAGCCGGCCTTATAATATTACGATCGTTAAATTCTTCATTTCGTTAAATGGATATTACGCGGAGAGTTAAAAATCGCAGTGAATTTGTTAACACGCTTATACTTTAGCGATCACATTTCGACATCCGACCTACATCAGCATAAAAAATTAATTTGACTTTCAATTCATGGCCACGTCTCTCTTACTGAAATTTATTCAACTCTTTCCGAATTTCTCGCCAAGGTTGCAGTCAGGTTACGAATTATTGAATAAGCAGCTTGTTTAAATTCAGTTTTATTTAGAACTATTTTAGAGGCTTCTCGGCTTAGGTAGGGTTGTAAATTGGTTCATCAACCACCGACTAACGTGGATCGATGCCAATGACGTCAGCGGTAGAGGTTGACTTGTTAGTTTCTCGCGTGAGATGAGCGAGGGAGATGCGAGAACCGTGAGAGAAAGAGAGACGTCCCGCCGGCGTATCCTACCGATATTCTCGCGGAACGATTTATCGAACCTGTTCGTCGAACGCAAAAATCAATTACCTCTCTTAACGCTGACTCAATCTCGCGGCGAGGGTCCGCTAAAAGAGAAGGAAGATGTTTGCGGTCTGATCGCATCGCCCGCAATTGTTTCGCTCGCGTTGCGAGACGTCACGAGTGAATCAGCAGCGACGCGAATTAGAGGCTCGCTCGCGAATCGCGATGAGAAATTTCGTGAGAAACATCCTTCGCCGCCGGCAAAGACGAATTTGCCATAGCCCCCCCCCCCCTCTCTCTCTCTCTCTCTCTTTCTTATCCTCTTCTTCTCCTCCTCTGCGTTTCCTGTGAACCTCCCGCCACTCTCGGTCCCTCGCGCGGCAGTCTATTTGGCTTATTTTTTCGACTTTGAACGACGTCGAGCCAATAAACTTCGGGATCCGCCAGCAGAGAAAAAGGAACAACAGAATTTAACCCCTTCTAACCGCCGGCAGGCTCGACAATATGGAAAACATCGTCGTTTCTCTCCAAGTACCTACTTCAACCGAAATGAATCTCCTCGAATGTTTAAGAAACGAATGAATACGCGTCCTCTAATGAGCTCTTAATGCAGCGAATGTTTCCTCGTGTTTTTTTTCGCTGCTTGATGCGCAAAAGATTTTTTTCATTACAGCATTATTGGGTATAATTATGGACGGTTATGCGATCGGACGCGTGCGTCGCGATATTATATAATACGTTGTGTAATTTTAATCTGTTTACATAAAATAGATACCTTAAGTAACAATTCCAAAGAAAAAGCAAGGACGTCCGGCAAAGCGATCTTTTTTTAACGTACAAGAATACGAACTCTTTGTGTTTCTTAATTAATTGGCTTCTTAATTGAATTGAGAAAAGATCAAAAGTCGCTTAGCTTCATTACATGATTCATTAGAATGTTGTCTTTAAGAAGCTACACGGAGAGAATTTTCTTTTAAAATTTACCCTGAAAATCATGCTAATTGTGAGACAATATAGTATTTAAGTAAATTTTACTGTGCACTACAATAAATTTTACTGCAAAATCTTATTGTAGTGCACAGTAAAATTTGCCTAAATACTATATTGTCCCATAATTAACATAATTTGCAGGGTAAATTTCAAAAAAAATTCTCTCCGTGTACACATAATGGATTTATTCTTTTGCGTTTTTCGCAGGAATAAATATATTCCTCGTAGACTCACGTCTTACGTGTTTCAAAATTAATTTCGCATGACTTCTGGTCGCGCGGATTAAATCTTGCTTCACTCTTCCGAGAGGATGCGGCAAGTCGAAAAAGATCGAGGCGAGATGAGTCTGGAAATACCTAGCTAGCCCCAGTGGTACTTGACTGTTGGCTACGCGGCGACTTTCAGGATACCCTATAGACACGCTCGGGACGGGCGAGTGTGTTTGCGAGTGTACATACAAACCGTCGGAGGTATATACTGCACCGAAAGTGGTTGACCCTGAGAGTGCCCGGCACAAAGGACTGATTCACCCCGGAGCCAATGCGGGGAGCTCTCCCGAGGAAGAAGGAGCTCGGCGCTCACCCGGGTCGATTCCTGCGCAGGATACTTCCTCCGTGACATAATCCACAGTGGCATATTAATGTTTTTCAACCTGAGAAACCGCGAAGATTCTCACTCTCGGATACTCCGAGCGTGAAACTTCCTCTTGCGCTTAATAAAAAAAGTCCGCTTCAAAAGGCCTCGCGCCATATTCCTATTCAACGAGCTAATAAATATTAACTTGACTGTTGCGGAATATTTTATCTGGGATACCTACATTTTTTTTTATCTCATGTACCTATTTATTAAGAAAAAATTGACACTAATGGAAATCACATAACAGGAGATTTTTCTTCTTTATATAATTTCGTTACAAATACATATTTTATAAAACAAGTTCTATATAAGAAACATGTTGAAATAAATTCTAACGCGTCGGAATATTGACATTTTTAATGCGATAATAATCATCGCACGGGGTTCACAATCTCTACCATCGTCGCTTCCTTTCATCATAGGATATTTTCAACATACAATTATATCTCGAGAATGATGAATTAAACTCTCGTTGAATTAATTCCTTTTTCATCATTTGAACAATGTTGATTTAACTATATTTTGTCACGCTACCGTCTCGTCCTCATTTCATAATACTACACGTATGTTTCTGCTACAGAAGTATTCAACGAATCTTGTGTATTTCAGTGAAAGCGTCTTACGTTCGTGAAAAAAGTGCAGCCATAACGACGCAGAAGTACCGTTCGGTATTTCTGGTTTCTCAGGAGAAGGATTACAATTACTTAAATATAGGAAGTTGGTGACAAAATGACATGCGACATTTAACGTACTAAAACGTACCTCCTACTCATTCTCTCTAAAATAGAACTTTGTTCTCTGTAATTCAACGCGAATTATAAATTATAAATCTAATGTTGAATTAATATTACTTATACAATCTCTTATCAATTCTTAATAATTTTTATTTTATAAAAAGGGTTGCCTGAACATACACCATCTAAAAAGCATTTAAAATAAAAGGCATCGTAAAACGGAACTCGTTAAGCAGTTGTTCGATTCGTAAAAATATCCTTTGTACATGAAAAGTGATATTCTCCGTCCAGGATACAAATTTCAGCTCGCCGTGAAATTCAACGTGACGCGTTAGAATTAATCCGCCTGGAGGAGGGCGTGCATATACGACGAGGCGACTCGATTTGCGCTCGCGGATAAACGCGAGATAATTGTACGTTAAGAGGCTCCTGGAGGCTCGCGCCGAGAGATCGACATCCACGCACCGTGGCGAGGAAATCGCCGGGAACGAATTCGTATCGCGCTGCCGCGCCGGTGAAAAACAATGAAAAACGCGCGCGAGTCCATCGCGGAGCACGCGATTATCCCCGCGGCAGAAAAGGCTCCTTCATCCTCGTCGTTAAAGGACATTCTCCAACGACATTGCCTATAATTTACGATACCCGCCTGCCGATACCACCAAGTCTCGCTCTACCGAGCCCGAAGACTTTCACCTTGATCGCAATCACGACGGAACCTTGCGCAACTTTTCAGCATTATCTATGCACACCCGCGATTCGGTCAAAATCAAATTACTCTGTGACGCAACGCGTGCTATGAAACTGCAGAACACACGAGCCGTCTGAGTATCGTGTACACAGTTACGCGGAGAACGGAAACTACGCCTGATATCGTACATACACGTCGACGAGGAGTACGATAAGATGTTGAGATGGCTCGCTTATATTAAAATAAAAAATCCACTTGAACTTCCCATTTTCTTGTATAGCGCAAAATTTTCTGCGCCATGGGAAACGTGTTGCGTTATTCAGTGTAACATCTAAATCACGTGGATGCATTGTATTACCCAAGGCAACCTGTATGATACATTAACATCAACGGACAAAGGGATTACGGTGCAAAATGACCGTCAGGAATCGCGGGACAGGAGGGCAGCGCGACAGGAAGGTCCACCTTTTCCTGCCGTCTGTTTTCATAGTATACCGCGATCCGTCATTACGCATCGTACTTCTATATTTTACCCTCAGCGTTTCAAATTATATATTCAACCATGAGGCAAGAGTGACAACTACGTGCAATCTCCAATTTCTTTCTTCGCGGTTTCGCGGTACGACCGTTAGAAATTCGCCTATTCGCGGTAACCCTATATCTGAGAACGGCGCTCCTTAAATCCTTGCGAGGCAAAGATCGTTCACGCCAGAATTATTATCGCGAGTCGAGCCGATCGAAGGATCCTGCGTAGTTTAATACAGCGCACGCGAGACCAGTTCTGCTTGTTTTCCCCACGCCTCGTACATAGCCTCTCGGACCTTCGGAAACGGTTGAATGTTACCGATGTCCTTAGGCTAGCAAAGAGAGACAGTCTTAGGTATCCTAAACAGATTTACTGGTTAATTACGCAAAGCGAATGTAGAGCAATTAGATGTCCTTGTCAACTAGAATATTGAGCTAATATGTATGTATATAAAGCCTTTGAGATATCTTTCCGATATGTGCGTGTTGCCCTGAAAGCAAACTGGGCAATTTTATGTAACAAACACTTTATATTAGTCTCCCGAATTTATAAAAATAAGTAGTTCATGTATACATTTTTTAATAATATTATATTTGCATTTATTATATAACTCATGGAAGATTCATAATAAGAAAATCGATTTTTAATACGTGAAATTTAATATCCCAGTCGTTGCAATCACATATATATTTTGCTTCTTCGGAAATTATACTGATGACGTATAACCAATGTCTCATGCACAACAAGCTGATATTTAAGAAAAAGTGCGCTCATAATTGAGGAACATTGGGATTTACTGCTACCAGAGGATTATATAAAATTGCCTCTTGGGATGCAGGGTGAAAGTAACGAGATCTTTCATCGAAAGAGAGAGAGAGAGAGAGAGAGAGAGAGAGAGAGAGAG